ATTAAGCCGTGTTTGCTTTCCATTGACGGCACTGACTGGTGTAGCATCAGGCTGCTGGGGGCTTTTCCATTCTCTGTGTAGCACTGTAGGATGCCACCGTCGACAAATACTGCACTTCTGTCTTTTCTTACAGTCTCTTGCAAGATGTGATGATGCACGCATGCACCCAAAGCATAGCCCCTTGGCACGCCAGAACTCAATTCTCTCTTCATATGGCTTGCTGGCCAGCGCTGCACAGTTCTCTATGCAATGGCTAGCATCACTGCAATAAATGCAGGCTCCACTGCTTCCAGTTTGTTCTGATTCACCACTGACAGTTGTGCTGAAACTGGTCTTGGCGGGAGACTTTGTTGCTCTTGGGCTTGGCTTGTTACTGTTTCCTTTTCCCCAGTCGATTGTCTTGGTTATGTCTCCATAGATTGGGTTGCATGCAATGCGTGTCTGTTTGTTGATGAAGGTGACGACGTCATCAAACACAACATTTCTGTTCTTCTCTTCTTGGATATCATCAGCCTTATTCCTCCACCTATCTCTCAGCTTGTATGGCAACTTTGCTGTGATCATCCGAATGTTCTGCGAATGATTGATCTCCTGCTCCATGCTGAGATCCTTGGCTAAGTTGTACAGCTCTGTGATGAACACTGAATAGCGATGGAGCTCATCTTTATCCTCTGGCTTGATGTCCGGCCACCCAACTGCCTTTGCCACCATGTTGTCAATGATGCGATGCTTGTCACCGAATTTCTTCTTCAGCAGAAGTTTGGCTTTGGCGAGAGCGTCTGCCGAGTCTTCACCATACACATGCAGCTTTTCACAATGGCATTAGCTTCGCCCCTGGTGTACTGCTCCAAAAAGTACAGTTTGTCCTTGTCATTGTTAGTCTTGGATTCAATGGTGTGCTCGAAGGCCCTCACAAATGCATGGTAATCAAGCGGGTTTCCACTGAATGGCTGTATCTGTCTTTGGGGGAGGGATGATCTCATGTGACACTCAACCAACAACTTCATCAGTTGGTTTTGCTGTTTCATTGATTCCCCCTGTTGCTGAAGAAAGGATGTTAAGGCACCGGCACTCTCTTCATTTGGTTCTTCTCCACCACCCGCAGCACCACCCGGACTGGCTTCGGGTGTTGGTAACCATGGGTCAACTGTGGACAACATGACTTGATCCTTATCTAGTTCATCCATTCTGGCAATTCATGCAGGGTAGGCCTATACTCTATACTCAGCTCTATTCTAAGCTCCGTGTGTACTCGTAACTGAGTCTATGGAACAGTCATGACAGTATTCCTCCCGTAAAACTGGACTTTTTTCCAACTAATATACGTGCCTATTTATGGGCCTTTCTAAAGTTCATTTTAAGGCTCCAAAAGATTTTCACGTTCATTTGGCGGACAGGAATGGGCCTAGTAAAGTTTCCAACGCTTCAATCCGGCTCATAAGAAAAAAACCTTGAGACAACTCGACTCGGGACAAGTCGACCGTTGAGACAACTCGACCGTTACGACAACTCGACCGTTGAGACAACTCGACCGTTGAGACAACTCGACCGTATGTGCGATAAATGGAAAGACAAGTCGACCGTTGAGACAAGTCGCCTCGCATGTTTTGGGGCCTAGTTTTGGGGATGGTACCGGGGATTTGTGACGGCGGCCGATCGCCGTTTGGGAGTGATGACACATGAGGTTTTTTTGTTGCTACAGAGCCGATATAGCACAGCGTGATTGTTTTTGCCGGGCCTGTGCGCCCACTTGCCGCGCCGGTTGACATGCCCGCGTGCCGGGCCGGGCCCGATCCTCGCGGGCAGGGCGCGCCGGCCCAACGCGACGGCAACCGGATCGGATCGCCCTCTGTGCATCGAGTATTCCCGCGCCGCGCCCGGGACCGGTCCTGCCACAGATTTTTGCAGCTTTTTCCGCTCCACGTGTATACATTTCCATTAAGTCGAGCTGTCTCAACGGTCGAGTTGTCCCGAGTCGAGTTGTCTCAACGGTTGACTTGTCTCAACGGTTGACTTGTCTCAACGGTCGAGTTGTCTCAACGGTCGACTTGTCCCGAGTCGAGTCGAGTTGTCTCAACGGTCGACTTGTCTGACATTCAGAAAAAAACACAAGCTCACAGTCACACAATGTTCAATTCAAGGCCCTCGGATCAGTTCTATTTCCTTCAATAATGCCTTGCCTACTGTGTTCTTACAGTTTATGTGAAGCTCCTGTTATCCTCCAATAGCTCCAAAACACACAAAAATATCCATAAGTCGAGAATAAGCTTGTCAAAAGTGTCTAAAAAGGTGATACAAAACTGTTACAAAGGTTGAAAAAACCTATGTCCTCCACGCTCCTATCGATAGCTATCCCATAATGATATCTACAAACTTTTTCTGTCAACAGAGGGCGCTATAATTGTTTCATGCGGTGAATTCGGCACTAACAGAAAGGATTGATTCTTTAAAAAAAACTTTGACATTTTAAACATTGTCCGAAGAGTGCCCCCATCAAAGCCGGATCATATTTCACGCGAATGGAAATGCTAATCGCCAGAGTTGATCTGTTCAACTTTTGTAAATTCGCAGCGGGAAAACTGGCCATGATGTTGTAAAAGTGGGAAGATAGAAAACGCTGTTTATGGAGCCGACAGATAAGTGGTATTATTCAAAATGGTTGCTCTTGCCATGTGCTTCACAAGTGATCAATTGAGGGCGCTATACATTTGAACCAGTCGCCTAATATACAACGACGTAATAATTTCGCGCTCTCGTTCCCTTTTTCAACGAGTATACGAACCGGTGGGGCAGGTAATTCTGTCCCCCGGTAAACGTGTCCGGGGGGACAGAATTACCTAGGTAAAAGTGTCTCCCTGGCCCGTTAATTCTGTCCCCCCCCAGGTAATTCTGTCCCCCTCTTTTAAAACCCGGAAGGTTATTGTTTTGATGAATTCACTCTACAAGGTATACATTTTGGACTTTTAGTCTGCCCTTCATGAATAAAAATATTTAATTTAGTCTATTAGATGATATGTAAGGGAACACAATGTTTCGATTCGGAATACGGTGATTAAGAGTCTATCGCGATTCTACCGCGATAGTTCAACACAGCGGCGATGCATGGCCCGGCGATGGCCCTCGTCTCATTGATAGTATGATACAACGTCTACTTGGATTGGTCTGTGTTCCCATCATAGCGCGTAACGAAATTTCCTTGTTAATAGGGAGACGCATATGTACACATGTGATAATCACTGCCTCAAATCTTGCAGCATGTACGGGCGCGCGCGACACGCTGCTGCTCTCATTACATACTGTATGGGGACACATTTTCCAGGGGGACACTTTCACCGTCGGGCAGGGGTAAATTTTTACCTGGAGGGGGACAAATTTACCTAGGTAAAAGTGTCCCCCCGGACACATTTACCGGGCCACGATCCGGTAAATGTGTCCGGGGGGACACATTTACCAGGGGGGACAGAATTACCTGTCACACCGGCCTTGTCAGATGGCGTGTACCCTCAAGCGCGTGCATTACCTTGCATTATCGCACATTAAATATAGGCATAGGCTCGGCACTTCCTAGGTAGCGTTGCCGATGTTCCCAAGGCTGGATTTGATAAAGACCCCTACTGCCGCGGCGGCTTTACAGAGACTGGCTGCATTAGAAGAATACAAAATTTTGGGCAATTCCACACTAATGGGCCAATCATGGGCGTCGCCAGGATTTTTTTCTAGAGGGGGGCGAAACATTTTTGGGCCAAAAATGCTTGCATTTCTCAACATATTCTCGATTTATCAGTTTTAGAGGGGGGAAGGGACATTCCCCCCCCCCCAACTTATTAAATTTACACCACTTTGTCTTCGCGCCTCTTTTTCTTTTCTTTGTTCTCTTTTTTCTTCTTCTTTTTCTTCTTTGTTTTTTTGCTTTTCCAGGGGGGGGGGGCAAGTGCCCCCCTTGCCCCCCACTTGCGACGCCCATGGGGCCAATTAGAAAAGTTAATGGATGTTGCATAAAGGGTAAAAGATGAGGTAATATTTTCTTCAGTTTTTTCCTTTACCTTGCTAAGTTGAAATTGACCAGGACAAGACGAGACAAAAGATGATATTTTTTTTATTTGAGAAAATAACTAGCGTCTTTTCCGTGTGATACCTATGTAAAGCCCGGTTCATACTCTGCGCGAAAGCGAACGCGAATTTGTGACGTCGTGGCAAGTATTCGCGCTGCGAATTCGTAAAAGTTGAACATCTTTCAACTCGGGCGAATTTCGCAGCGAATGTTTTATGACGTCAAATTCGCTTTCGCATGAAGTATGAACCGGGCTTAACGTGGACAGACACACTGCAAGGAAAAGGGTGCTTAGGATAAATTCAGTTTCTAATAGGCACTTCCAGTGACCCTTTATATGCAATTTTACACTGTTATCAAGCGAAAATATAAGTTTTCAAACTGGCTTTAGATTTATGATTAGGTCACGTACGTACAGGGACAGACATTTTGTAACAAATGTCCAGTCTGTTTGTACGAATAAAATCCTGATTATAAAATATCAAATATTTCTTCACGTTGACTCTGACTTTTCTAGGTTTTGACTGAAAGCATTTCTCCAGGGTACATCTTCTTAAATCAGACAGCATTAGGGGATCATTAAATGTTATGCTTACTTTGTGAATTTATCTAATATGTCCGTCCTTCGTTACCTACCTAACACTTTTAAAAACAATATCCTCCATATTTTCTTAAATACAAAACCAGTTATATCCTTTGCAGGTGAGGATATTTGTTCAAAGCTTGCAATGTTTACAGCAAAAATTGAGGGCCCAAGAACCTAGTTTTATCATCAAAGCTTAACGGTCTTCTCAAATGTGACACTTTTGGGCCCATTATTGTGGAAATCCGAACTTAGACCAACACTAAGTGCGGCCTCGCTTTTCCACACTGGGAGAGAATATCACGTAATGAATCATTATCAGGGAAGTTTCATGTTAAATTCACAGCAACTTGTATTTATTTTCAGTTTCCGGAGGTGACTGGTTCCAGCATAACCTCTTCTGGTGGGAAAAGCGACATGATGCAAATGTTCTTTTCATCAAATTTGAAGACATGAAAAAGGCAAGAGTATTAGTGAAAATGTATGATCTTGTGTAAGACAATTGTTTGTGACCCCAAGTAAATGTTTGGAATTGTATAGCCATGTATCGTTTATTTTGTTACATAATTTCTACATTTGGGGGGGGGGGATTGTAAGAACTTGAGGTGACAAATGTACATACCAATTAATGTGCATATACATGTACTAATCTTCTGCCAAGGATCTGAAGAATGCTGTACAAGTTACTGCTGATTTTCTGGAACGAACCGTGACGCAGGACGACTTACAGAAAATCGTGGAAAAGTGCAGTTTTGAAAACATGAAGAAGGACCCCAAAGTAAATCCAGACATGGTGTTGGAGTTTTGTAGTGACAGTGACGTAGTGAATCAGCCACCGAAGGAAAATATTATGTCATTCATGCGAAAAGGTAAGTAAAAAAACCAATAAAAAGTTTCTAGTGTGTACTGCATTTGGTAGTGGGGAATCTATTGTTCTTGTTGCCGTATTAGGCCATTGTCCAAAACCCGTATCAAGTCTAGAAGTTGAGGTTCGTCTTAACTTTCTGGTGTCAACTTACAAGTTGACACCAGAAAGTTAAGACGAAACTCAACTTCTAGACCAGCACTATCGAATTAGTGAAGATGACCTTATTACAATAAGGTCATCTTCACTAATTCGATAGTGCTGAATCTGAACATGATTGTTCACATTGGACCAAACTACCTATTTACCTCATGCCGATATTTTTTTCTTTGTTATTTTGCCCATTTTTGGTCAAAAAAGTATTTTTGCCATAACTTCTACGTTTTAAGTTCAAATGCTTTCAAAGTTGACACCACAAATAAATAGGAAGTCGTCATGAATAATATAAGTCATTATTCGAATAATACATTGCCTTTGAATGTTGCATTGCACTTGCTTGTAAGGAGCACTTCATCTTAATCAAACTAGAACATCCCCACACCTTTCAACTGTTAGACACCAGCGACCCATCCTTTGAAACAAAATTCGATGTTCCTGCCTACTGACTGCAATAGACCTGAGACGTAATGACGTAATGGCTTTGTTTACATATGCGCTTTCCTATGGGAGCAAAGTCGGGACGCGTGGGGACCGTCTACTACATAGGAAAGCGCACATGTAAACAAAGTGTGACACCATATGTCTCAGGCTTATTACAATGCAGGGTGAGTCAAATATAAAGTGACCGAATTGCGAAAAATATTGTTTAAAATATTTGGCTCTCTCCATTTCATTAAAAAAATACCAAAGGGATAAACTTTACATCTTATTGACTTTTAACTGTGAACAGCACGTAATTTGCATTCCCAAGTTATGTCTATTTCAACAAAAAGATCACAAAACCCGGCTGACAACCACTGATAAGATACCGTCCTACGAACTGATGAATAATATGAAACATAGACGTTTTCTCACCTCCATGAATTAACGAGAACGTACAATAATCGCCATCAATATTTCCGTTAAAAGAGTTGACTTGGTCCTCATATTCAAAACTCGGAATCTGACAGTAAAAATAAGATTTCCGTCTTGATCTCAATTATTAAAATCTCCACTTTAGCAGGGGGTGGTAAAGTCCAATGTCAAAATTTGAAGACTCCTATCTGGGAAATGGTTAACGCCATCAATACAAGACTTTTGACATCAAAACTAACACTGTATCTCTTAAATAACCCCCACCCCTTGAAATTCAAAATTAACCCCAAAATGGCCTTTTCTGGCTATAATGCCGATTATCCTGTTGTAGTAATGATGAATAAAGACTTATTATTTCATATTGGAAACATTCAGGCACAATAGCATATGGAAAGAACTCAGAAAGATGCTTAGCTTGAGGTGCTGCCTTGAACGTTTAACCCCTGAAAGAGGCAACAGGAGCATATATCAAGGGCATTTACATGTATATTGGGGGGGGGGGGCGGATAACAATGTCTTGAAAAGGGCACTTGCACATCCATGCTGAAAGGTATATAATGTATATATAGACACATTTTTTTCCAGTACACTTGGCCTCTGTAAAATCAAATGGGGGGGGGGGGGCTGGTACCATCTGTCGATGGGCGTGCTGTTCTAACCAAAAATTATGCGCACTAGTATAACGGATGTGTGGTGCTTTTCAGGGCGAAACATGCATACAATTCTTACGAAGGCGCCCACACAGCCGATGGTACAATGGCATGACCTTTTGTAAAGTTACAATTTATAGACATTCCTGTATAATCCGTTATTAAAGATGAAAAGACGGACATGGATGGGCATTCTTGAATCATACTACTTTCATTCTTATGATTAATCCAGCTCTTGTTGAGTGGTTGGGCAAAACCCGACCACCACCTATTATTGTTACGATTAATTGAGTGGTCGGGCACAACCCGACCACTCTCTATTAATGTTACGATTAATCTTTCTTTTTTTTCCGTACAGCACGTTTCCGCGGGTTTTCTCCTAAACGGTTTTTATGAACTTGTAACTTTCAATATATATCGACCCTTACTCTGATGTCATTATGACGTCATCGGGTGTCAAATTACAAGCGATTGTCGTTAAAAAAATGACGATCTTCAGTCACCTATAACTCTTGAACAAAATTATCAATTATGTTCCAACCTTGTATCCAGATAGACCATTAATTGATTAACATTTTATGTCGTACGTGAACTCGCTTGACCTTGTCTTCCGGTTCTACCGGAAGGTCAAAGTAAGGTGAATTCAAATTGTAGACATTAGCCTGAAATCAAAACAAAGCACAGTTTCTTCTGAACGGTTTTCGGTATGATCATAAAACCTAGTGTGGACTTGTACCATGTTACGAAGATGTTATTGAGTGGTCGGGCACAACCTGACCACTCTTTGGATTTATTGCGATTAATCTTTCTTTCTTCCTTTCTTTCTTTCTTTCTTTTTTTCCTTCTGCATAGCACGTTTCTGTGGGTTTTCTCCTAAACGGCATATGATATGAACTTGTAACTTCTAACATATATTGACCCTCATTCCGAGTGGTGCATATTACACTGACGTCATTATGACGTCATCGGGTGTCAAATTACAAGCGATTTTCGTTAAAAAAATGACGATCTTCTTTCATCTATAACTCTTCAACAAAATGATAAATTATGCTCCAACCTTGTAATCAGATAGATCAAAAATTGATAAACATTTTTTGTCGTGTACGTGAACTCACTTGACCTTTACTTCCGGGTCTACCAGAAGGTCAAAGTTAGGTGAATTCAAAATGAAGACTTTAGCCTGAAATCGAAACAAAGCACAATTTCTTCCAAATAGTTTACGTATGATCATAAAACCTAGTGTGAACTTGTAACATGTTAAGAAGATGTTATAACTGTCGTTACGTAATCATGACGTCATCAGGTATCAAATTACAAGCGATTTGATTGCATGATTTGACAAAATACTTTGACCTATATCTCTTGAACTAAATAGAGTATCGTGTTCGTTTTTTTGTGAGGTTGTAGACGGTGCCTTGAGCACCGTTTCTTATTCCCGGGTACAAAACTGCTTTACCTTTACTTCCGGTGTTACCGGAAGTGCAATACAAACTTAATATAACTCTAAAACAAAAGCATTTTACTACAGACAAATACTTTATGGAAGTGTTAAGTGAGGAATACCAATCACAAACCACATTATCTTGACGTCATCCACGAAAGGGCCCTCCAGCGGCACATAGAAAGTAGTTTAATCTTTTAAAATGTTAAAACCCTCAATCAAATTTTTATGATATATTGCGCCTATTAGGCTATATCCCGTGAGCAACCACAAATGAATTTGCAAGGTTTCATAATCATGACGTCATCAGACCAGAAGTTACTGTAGGGAGAATTCAACAATGACCATTTTATTTTTAATTTAAATCCATCATTGGATCCCTGTCTCATGCCTTTGTTTTTTGCCCCCGCAAAATGACATCTGTTACACTTAATATTGACCTTTTACTTCCAAAAAACTGTGACGTCATCAAACTTGAAGTTAGCTGTTATTATTACATACACTTAATTTCCATATTTCCATGCGTTATTTTTACTTAATGATAAACAATTGTCCTCCCTTCCCTGTTTGACTGATGACGCCATCAAACCGGAAATAATTAACTTGTACGTGTACCCTACTGTTAACTGAAATTTATCATACCTTAAAAAGATGCATTCTTTTTGAACAAAATAATTGGTACTGGAAAAGTTGAAGTTCTTGGTCCTTTTTTTCTGACATAAACATATTCATAACTTAACTGGACAATGTCTAATGAAATGGTTGTCTACCCGACCACTCTGCGTTTGTAACAACAAACGCGAACCTCTAGTAAATTTTGTAACGTCATCATGACGTCATCAGGTATCAAATTACGAGCGATTTGATGGCACGATTTGACAAAATAGTTTGACCTATATCTCTTGAACAAAATAGAGTATTATGTTCATTTGATCGTAAGGTTGTAGACTATGCCGTGAGCAACATTTCATATTCTCGAGCACAACACAGCTTGACCTTCACTTCCGGTGTTACCGGTGTTACCAGAAGTGCAATGAAAATTGAATACTAGAGTTTCGCGTTTGTTGAGTTACAAATGCATAGTGGTCGGGCGGACAGCCTTTTCATTATACACTGCCCAGTTAAGTTAGGAATATATGTTTATATAGAAAAAAGGATCATGAAATTAAATCCCTTCAAGTACAATCAATGTTTCAAAAAGGTATCTTTAACGGTGTGATTAATTTCAGTAAACATTCTATGTGCACAAAAAGTTATTTCTGGTTTGATGACATCATCAGTCAAAAATGGTTAGTGAATACTGATAAAGTTTTACTGATAATTTTTCATTGTAAAGTTAAAATAACGTATGAAAACATGGGAAATATAATTGTTTGTATTAATAACACCTAACTTCCGCTTTGATGACGTATTGATAACACCTAACTGCCGGTTTGATGAAGTCACAGTATTAGAGATCCAAAGGTGAACACTGTAATGGATATCATTATTTGGACTTCGAAGATATGACAGGGATCAAATGATAAAATTAAATTAAAACTATGATCTTTTTCAAATTCTCCTTAATGTAACTTCCGGTCTGATGACGTCATGAATTTGAAACCTTGTCAAGTTATCTGTGGTTAATCAGAGAATATTGTAGCGGTACTGCCTCGGACGACTGCCCCGGCGAGTAGCGGCGAACGGCCTAGCCTCTACGGTCGGGTACGCAGATCTGTTTCGGCGGAGATTTACCGCCAGGCCCGCAGCAGACTACCAAAGGATCACCCTCACACGCACTCTCGCTCACACAACCCAAGTGGACTAACTAGGGGGACTGGGGAAGGATGGGGACCTGACACCAGATATGTCTTTCGTAAGATTATTTTATTCGCCTACCCAGGCGCCTCGCCTACGTGA